TATTAAATATTTTTTTTTTTGCAATGTATGTCTTTAGTTATCTTTGCCTATGTATTCTATGTCAGTTTTAGTACCTGAGTTTCAATTTATTATTTAGCTCAACTCTTGCCAAGTCTATTATGCACTGTACTTACTCTAAGCTCACGAAAAGCATATGAAATCAATTAATTTTTATTCTTTGTAGAATTTTAAATCTATTGTCAAAAGTCTCTCTGAATTAACAGCAAAATTGAACTGAAAATTTCGATAGATACGTCTCTTCTAGTAACATTTAATCTAGTCTGTTAAATATAAAGTAACATTTTTAGTTTTGACTAAAGGCTTAAAAACTCCACAGCCTACTATTGTTACCTTTTTAGTTTTCCTAGTCGATAAGTCGAACGTTAACCAATATAGTTAGTTGTTTGGCCTATGCAAAGCACGAGTCCTAAATTTGAGACACATTCCCATTAGTTTTCTATCAACCTAACATACTTATTTTCTAGAACTCTTTAGCAATATGTTGTCTTAAGTTTAGCAAGCTCTATTTATACTAAACCATTTCGTTTGTGAATTCATGTCTAATATTTTGCTTTCCTCACTCATCGCAGAGCCTCCGCTGCCGATATGCGAGCCGCGGCAGCGCAGACATCGTATGGTGGCAATGCAGCGTCCACGACCAGCGATCGGGCGGGCATTGTGAGCAATGCGCAGCCGTTCTCCTTTACCGGAGCCGTGGGCACCGACAGCAATGTGTGATGACGCGGTCGGCAGTCGGAACAGTTGGATTGTGGCTGGGGTGTGCGGTGAGAAAACAAGACTCAAAACGCAACGCAACGCAACGCATTAAGGCAAACTACAACTACATCAATGAAGAGTTAAAGTAAATAGGCAGGATACAATCTAATTAACTTGTGCAATTAATTGTTGGCGATTCATTTCCAAACCGGAGCCAATCATAAACGATCTCTCTTGGTATTGCGCTGAAGAAAATGTTACGCGAGAATCAGCAGAATAATGGAAACCTCAAGGAACCTCTTTAAATAAACCGTCTATTAATTGATACAAGATATACATATATAATATTTTTTGTTCASCGTTTTCTGTTTTACATTTCGATTTGTTGCCTGTGTATCATTCCAATTCCAATTTTGGTTAAATGAAAAAAAAAAAAAAACTTATTTAAAATGTAGAAAAGGTAAAATATTATATTTTATCATATTTCAATTAAATTATTGAGCGATGACATAATTGTATGAAATTTATGTTTAGTCATAGTTTAAATATAAATACTATATATTTAAATGCATAATACAAATAAATACAAGTATAAATAATTAAATGTTTGTAAACCATATTAAAAATTTGATTATGCATACTTTAAATTATGTTAAATAAAATTAATGATACAAATATTGTTTGGTTTTTCTTTTTTTTTTTGTGATTTGCTTTATATTTCATTGCGATTTGATATAAAAATATAAAAAATAGTAGCAAAAACTGTGATTAAGTTAAACAATATTTAAATAGTTTTAACAGTTAATGAAAATTAATTAATATTTCTTGATGTATTTTGATTTAAGCATTGTCCTCTGCGCTTTCGCTATCGAGTTGCTCTGCGTCTTCGTCTTCCTCTTGGTCTTCTTCTGTTGCCTCTAGGCTATCTGCGTCTTCTACTGGCTCCTCTTCTTCTTCCGCATCGTCTTCCTCTTCAATATCATTTTCATCACCGGCGTCCTGCTCCTCCTCCTGTTCGTTGGATCCAATCCAGCGGAAACGACGATCAGCGATCTGTTCTCCGCTGTCCTCGGCAGAAGCCACAAGGACCAAAGCAAACAGAGCTATAAGGAAGGCAGAGAAGTTAAGCAAGATCTATCAATAATTCCGGTTGATATGCTTACCAATGCTCATGATAAGGAATTTGTTGCAAATCATGTTGATTAAGTTAATTGGTTAGTTAATTTCTATGCTAACTGAAGCGACGCTTGCCCCTTTTATAGTCAACTTTTGGCAAATGCTGTTTATCACAAAATTCGGGTTGCCCTACAACTGTTCAAATAATGTTTTATCTAAATTTATGTCACACTTATTAGGCTAAACACTTCACGGACTACTTTTTTTTTTCATGTGATTGACATCAATGCTAACTAAGATTAAACAATTATCTTAAGTAATTTAAAGTAAAGTTGAAGTTCTAAACTATATTCTCAGAAATGAAAATGTTTAAAAACTTATTTAATTTGCGACTTTAAGTGATGTTTTAAAGAAATTATTTTTTTTTTTTTTAGAAGGGAGAATGCTGAGTTTATTTATGATAGTTTTATATGTAAATTAATAGTAAAAACGAAAAAAAAAAAAAAAAAAAATAAATAAAAATAGAACATATTTCTATGATTATACATATGTTTTTACATATTTCTGATGCATTTAAACTAAAATATGCATGTAATATATATGTACATTAAATAAATGTACATTAAATAAATAGGCTATTTACATTTTGTAATATTTATTTAGTGATATGATAACAGTAGTTTATATTTAATTATTTTTGGCTTACTATCATATTAGAGCAGTGTATAAAACTGTGTTTCAAAGTATAGCTTCAGGCTTATCTGCTAATTCAGGAGCAACAACAGAAGATATTGCATACTTTCGAGTGAACAAATCAAAAAGAATACAAATTTTCACCTTTACAAAGAATAATATGACTGCTGTATGTATATGTTTAGTAGGAGTTATTATAGCTAATTAGTTTCTTCACAGGCATCAATCCAATCATTGTAGACATCTATGGGCTCCGATAGAGCCATGATTTGGCTCTGAAAGGCTTCCTGGCAGACGCGACAGACAATGCGACCGATTTTACGCAATTTGTCCCTGTTTAGGATAGATCATAGATAAATAATAGAGAATTACTTAGGTATTCTACTGTAAGACTTACATAATCACATCACAGGATCGCTCGTGATTACAAAAGGGACAATTGAATTGTCTTTCCAGGTTTTGGATAAGCTTACGTCTCGGCGGTGGCTTACGTTTCGACTTGCGGCGTCCCATATTTTATTTTTTGCTATCAACTTAGAGAACTGAGAAAAACTGATTTTCCTTTGAAAACGTACAAATAAATAATGTGTAAAAATGTGAAAAAAGTATGGGAAAAAAAACTTACAAGCTTGGAGACGCAATCGTTGTACAATGCTTAACGCTCAGCAATAGAATAAATAATTTGGTAACGCTCAACATGGTGTATGGGAATCTAATGATTTTAGTGACAGAATTATCATGGATTGCTTACTTAAAAAATAAAACATTTTTATAAAGTATTAAGCTATATGCAAAGTCTACTCAATTGGTGTATCTCTCAAGGAACTTTCTGGATATTGTAGCAATAGAAATATCAAGGATTACTTTTGTTCTTTAAATTGCCTGGTTATGAATTATGAAACTTTATACAACATAATCTAAGACAGGAAGAGGGATGCACCTTGCCTTGAGTTTTCTACTTTCTCCTGGCTTACCCCATGTTAGCCCCATTTGTTTACCTCTATTATAAATTGTTTTGATATCGAAACCACAAGAAAACTCAATCGATGGTGCCCACATCTATTGCGGCTGCTGGCAGCTGGCTCTTATCTAATGCTATTGTTTGTGTCTTATAACTCAATGTAGCATAAAATCGTTTGTAAATGATCCTGTACTGAGCTCATCAGTATATCGATTACAGGCTGCGTAATTTGGCTGAAGGACAGAGATATGTACAGATCGCAGTTGTAATCGCTGCATGTGGGTCAAGTGTTTCGGGTTTGAATAGATAGAGATGGAATAAATGGAGATCGGCGTTCCCACAGTTGTGTTTGAAGCAAACGAGTGCCGATTTTTTCTGGCTAAAGCGCGCTGTGAGCTGTAAAGTCCGACGACAGCTCAGTGCGCAGCAAGAGTTTAAAGGCGACCTGCTGTTCAACATATTAGCACCAGGACATTCGGGGTCAACGGGTGGTGTTCCACAGGACAGCTGAAAGTGTCAACAGTCGGAAAGTGAGCTGTGCCAAAAAAAAGTCTATATACATATATATAGTTGACACTGGCAGCAGGATACTTTAGAATATTGCAGCGCACAACAGGATGTATCTACTAAGGACACGCCGCTGGGCAGCACATTTATTGCATTCGCAATGCTTTAAAGAATTTAACGAACAAATTGTTGAAATTATTTGCTAAATGGTTTTAAAAATGTTCATCATCGATAGATCGCAGCGGCTGCTTCCTGGCTTTCAGCCTAAGACTTCCGCATTTCATCAATCGCAGCCTCCTTTTGTTGGCCTCCTTTGTGCCCCTCATCTTTATTAATCTTGTGCTGCTCATCTTAGCCAGCTGCTGCCGTTGGCCGTTTGGCCGTTTGGCTGTTTGGCCGTTTGCCTTTTGTGGTTCTTTGGCCAGTTGACCATTTGCCGCTGGCCAAGTGGTTCGCTTGCCTTTTGTTTGGCCTACTTCAATGCGCTGCCGACGCGACGTGTCTTTCTTCATTCTCTCGCTTTTTGCTACTTTTTGTGCCCTTTGTGAGTTCATTTGCTTAAATGCATCTTATCCTGTTAAAGTGTGCTCCTTCTGTTCGCAGAAAATTGATCTTTTCTCTTTTTTCTCGCAAATTTCCTGCTTTAGTTTGCCTTCTGTCTTCCTTTAGGGCTGCACTCGAGCGCATCTTAATTGAGTCTTTTTTTTTTTTCATACTCCTGCAGATAATGTTACTGTAATGCAAGACGGCTATTCCTTTCTTTCACTTCTATCTTTTTTTTTTTTTTTATTTAGACTCATTTTTTTTTTTTAGATTTTTACTTAAATGGAAATTCGTTGTTAGAATTTTGTGAGCTCTGAAATGGCATTAAAAATTCATAATTATAAGCCGTTGATGAGTTTTGCTTTTATGGCATTGAAGCCACCTACTTATCAATAATAAAGCTCAACAGATTTTTCATAATTATAAGCTCCATAAAACCCGCATGGAAAATCAAATCAAAGCCCCATTAACAATGCCCAATCTCATAAACGGGCCACACCTGAGGGGACAAATCAAAAGCTTTTCAAACATTCAATTGTTGTTCTTTCTGGCCAATTAGTTGTTTTAAATGCCATAAAATTATTATGTTGAATATTTTTGTGGCTCGATTGGGATTTTGTATATTCAGTGTTCATATCGTGTTGTTATGCTGATGCGTTCTGTCCCCCGGCTCTATTTCCCCCCTTGAACAATATTTCATCGAAAATGCAATGCGCCAAGGCGCCCCAAACATGATTTTTAATTAAAATTCCCAAATCAAAATCAAATTACCACTAAAAAAAAAAAAAAAAAATAGAAAGAAAAATGCATAAATTTTTGTCTAATGACAACAACCACACACATGCAGACACACACACACACTACTCTGCTGCAGTCGGCAGAGATTGGAGCAGGGGTCGCCTGTCGCCAGCGGCTTCCGCTTCGCCCGCGGAGCGAGCCGTGCACCTTCCAAGAATTCTGAAACTGGAAAATGCTATTTGGAAAATGCATATTAGAATAAAATTAAATTATGCATAATTATAATTTTTTGTTGCTGGCATTTAAACCAAACTAGCGTGGCTCCGCCGCCTGCCCCTTGAGCGGGGGCAGACTCATAAAACTGTCATAAGCCGGTGAAATTGTTAGGAGCCAACTAGATATAGGGAATATTTAATATGTTTTTCATTTTATGTTGTTTTTCTATTTTGGCTGCGACACGTGTGCCAAGGAACAGAGCAGTGCACTGCGCTACAAGGTTGGAATGATGAAGTGAGCAGAAGAAATTATATATATATTTTTAAAATTGATTTCCTATCAATTAATAAGCAGTTAGGCAGTTCTACTTTGAGGTAAATATAAATTAAGCTTACTCGCATATATTTGACAATATTCCAAATGGCTTTTCATATACACTTTCATAAAATTTTAATATTTAAATATTTTAATATTTAATTGGATTAAAGTTCTTAGAGCTAACTAACATATCAAATATTAAATAATTACACAGTTGCTCTGTGGTCTGAAGATAAACTAAATATACTTAATTCTATTTTACTACAAATTCAAGCTGTTGCGTTTCTATATATATCTGGTAGCTACCCTCTGACTTTCCCCATTTTATGCGCCTTTCTATATATATTTTTAATAGCTTCAATCTGGCTTTCCCCACTTTATGCAAATTAGCACCTTGATATTTGCACCCTTATAATCCGAGCTCTGCTGTATTAACAGCAATTCGCATTCATATTGGACGCAAGTTTGTTGCACAGTGTAATAATATTTCCATAAAACCATTGAACGCGTTGAGGGCAAAAATGTTTTTGTGCTCAATTAGCGTATAACATTGTCACAACCTTCCGGCAGGCCCCAAGGCCCCGTGTGCCACAACATCATCAACAGGTAAAAGCCTGATTTCGTATGCGAAGGAGACAGCAGAGAAAGGGAGGGAGACACAGACAGAGACAAAGCCAGAGAGGGAGTGAGATAGAGGCGAATGGAGTATTGCATAATCGTTAAAATGGATGAAACCCTTTTCCCCTTTTTTTGTTTTTTTTTTTTTGTAGTCTAATGCTCATTTTCATGCGTTTTTCCCGGAAAATTATGGCCACAAAGTGCTCGGCAATAGTTTAGCATATTTTGTGTCTGGCTTACGCGTGGCCGCGATTTAAATTATGACAGGAGCCGGAGCCAGAGGAGTTGGAGGAGCCGGCTCGACTGGGTGCCTGGCTTCCTGGCGCCCCGTTCGCTAGGTGGCCGCCATGCATTGTGATTGGGCTTGGGACTTTGTTTGCCTGCTTAACGATTTAAATAATGTCTGGGCACAGGAAGGATAACAAGCGCTGTGGCGCTTCTATGGAACTATAAATTTTCGATTCGAGCTAGTGCCAGGGCATATTAATGGGCAGGTGGTCGGGGCAGTGGCAGTGGCAGTGGCAGGGGCAGGGGCAGCCAGCTACTAAGTAGGAGCTGAATGGCTGACGGTTGCAGCAGCTGCAAATTGGGACGAACTAATCTTATCAAATATTGAAAATAACCCAATTAGTAACCACCTACAGCAGAGAACAACAAGAAAAAAAATGAAACGAAAATAACGTTGGAAAAGACAAACAAACATTGCGCAAAAGGTTTCATCCTCGTCTCTTTTTGCTTGATTTTTTTTATGTTCATTTCAAATGAAATGCTACCAGGGAAGCTGTCGGCCTGCTGCAGCCTGGCTGTGAGTAAGACATCAGGAGGCAAAGTCGCAGGACAAATATCAAACGCAGCTGCCGGCAGGACAAAAGCGGATAAGTCAAATCGCAAGATGCTCGCGTCAACCATAAAACTAGCCAGGCAGCCAGTCAGATAAAACGCAGGCCAGACCCGAATGTTTCACAGATCTCGTCAGCAGGACCGCCCCTGGCGAATGCTGCGAGTTTTTGGTGCACGCCGGGCAGCCTCTAATTTGTGAAACTTGCCTACAGTTTAGAAAGCGACGGGCAGTCGCCGCTCAGTCCAGTCCAATCGAGCCTGACAAAAGAGCAGTCTCCTCTTTGGCATGACATTTGAGATTTTGCAGTCGATGATTTCGAATATGCCGGACAATGTGATTCAATTGAATAGAGACGTTTTTCCTTTCATGTCGGCCCACAGACAGATATGTAGCTCGTGAAAAGCGCAATGCTAACTGTCCACAAAGAGCACCGAAAATTTGCCATAATCATGACGTTTTGTAGGTTTCCTTTGTCTCGCCCAAACAGTTTCGCCCGAATAGTAGTTGGAGACGTCTTCCCTTCGAGCATAATCGTAATCGTTGCTGCCTTGGCTAAACAGCAGCCAACCTGAGCAGCAGCCAACTGCATGTGGGAGTAGGAGTGTAAATGGATGAGAATACTTTTTCTTTTATCTCCCTTTGTTGATCGTGATTATGGAGAAGTGCGAGTACATTCAAGTACCAGTATCTTTTATGTGCAGAGCACAATTTTGTATCTTTATTATTATGGATTTATGTCTTTATCCGCTTTGTACCTTTATACTTGTTTCTTTGTATATATTATATGTAATATATACATGCACTTTTACAATAGATTAGTTGCTTCATAAATTCAATACATATATATTTTTTATAT